AAATAACAAGTATGCCATTATTTCACGTGATGTGTTCTGATATTTTGTATTCTATTTTATTAAACATATGAAACTGATCATGGCCAATGACATTTATTTCTCAACCCACTAACAGATTGCAACTCACCTTTTGAAAAAGCACTTCTCTAGAAAGTACAAATAATAAATCTATTCCCTTCACATATTTAAGGGAGCCCTCAGGTTTCCATTATAAACTCTTCTGTTTTATGGGCTAAACATCCACATTTTCCTCAACTGCTTTTTTCTTATGATATGATTTTTAGAGCCCTCTTTGATTCTTGCCCTTGGACACATTTTAGTTTGAAACGAGCCTTTTAAAAATGTGGCATCCAGAACTAAACACAGTATTTCAGCTTGATATGACTATTGCTGGGAATAATGAAATTAGTATATTCCACAATCTGTGTACCATATTCTTATTGATGCAGGTGAAGCTTTTACAGGAATGTCTGGACCTAAGTCATGGACCACCTCTCACAGTACTCACCCTATCACACCATTTCCCACAGAGGTTGGGCAGTCACACCAAAGAGAAAATAAGAGGCAATAAGAATGGCTAGTTTTCGGTCAGGCGCAGTGGGTAGCTTACAACTGTAATCTCAGCACTTTGGGAAGCCGAGAAGGGCGGATCACGAGGTGAAGAGATCGAGACCATCTTGGCCAACATGGTGAAACCGCTCCTTTACTAAAAATACAAAAATTAGCTGGGTGTGGTGGTGCGTGCCTGTAGTCCCAGCTACTTGGGAGGGTGAGGCAGGAGAATCGCTGGAACCTGGGAGGTGGAGGTTGCAGTGAGCCGAGATTGTGCCACTGTACTCCAGCCTGGCAATGGAGCGAAACACTATCTCAATAAATAAATAAATAAACATAAGAATGGCTAGTTTTCACTATTCACAATAGCAAAGGCATGTAATCAACCTAAATGCCCATCAGTGATAGACTGGATGAAGAAAATGTGGTACATACGATGCAGCCATAAAAAAGAACAAGATCATGTCCTTGGCAGGGACATGGATGGAACTGGAGGCCATTATCCTCAGCAAACTAACACAGAAACAGAAAACTAAACACTCCATGTTTTCACTTGTAAGTGGGAGCTAAATGATGAGAACACATGGACACATACAGGGGAACAACATATACAGGAACCTATTAGAGGGTGATGAGTAGTAGGAGGGAGAGAATCAGGAAAAATAACTAATGGGTCCTAGGCTTAATACCTGAGTGATGAAATAATCTGTACAGCAAACCCCCATGACACAAGTTTACGTATGTAACAAACCTGCACTTGTAGCCCTGAACTTAAAAGTTAAAAAACAAACAAACAAAAAGCCTCGTTTTACTAAATCCTAGAAAGGAGGAGGAAAAATTATGCATATAATCAAGGTGTCTCTTAATTTAGTTTTTTTCCAGAACAATTTTTACTGAAACCACTATTACTCAAAGATCACAGTCTTTAAAAAATACCCAGACTCTACCACAAGGAACAAATGGTAGAGAATAAACAGCAAAGGCACAATAAAAGCATATAGTGCCCTAATGAGTGTTATCTTAAACACCTTTTCACTTAGCTCATGAAATCCATCTTTTGTTCAATTCAGGTGAAGTTTATAGCAAAATATGACTTGTTATATGAGTGGTTCATAAAATGGGAGTGGCTGTGCTTCTGAATCTTGATGGTCACCTTCTATGTATATTATATAATACTTAGATGTTTTGCTCCCTAAGGAGTTACCAGCCAATGGCTCCAGTCTTACAAGAAAACCAAAAACCAAAAAACAAAAAACAAAACAAAAAAAAACAGATACAGAAGCCTTGTCCATGTAGTTAGCCTTATTACTAGAAGCACAATTTATTCATGTGTTATAAAGAAACATCTTATTAGGTATAATTAACATTGAAAAGGAATAAAGTCAGGTCCTCCAGGCATAAATGTGTATTTAACATTTCATAATAAAAATATGCTTCTAAATGAGGATTTGCCTGTATTTCTAATATAAGATATGATTAAATTTGAACTCTTTTTTTTTGTAAACATGGTTGCAAAAATTGAGTTATAGACTTTTATTTGTCTTAAAAATTCTCTATTTAACACATATCTCTTTTTGGAATTGGGTTAAGATAATGGCATGCTAAGGCAGCAACACTCAGGAGGATCCTAGGAGGAAAGGCATGCCCTCCCCACTACTCTCCCTACTGAAGCTTTTGTTTGTTTGAGGTTTTAAACAAAATGTAAAGTCTCCTAAGGTCTTAATCATTTCCCCAAACTAAGGCAGTTGTATGCCATAAAAATGTAAGTTCTTTGTTAAAGGTTAAGAACATGCTGAACAAGTCAGTGTTTTCTGCACATCTTAGCAGACCTTACAGAGGCAACACTGGAACTCCTCATCAAAGTTATTCTTGTTTCGGCCACACGTCTCAGCAAGGTGCTGTTACTTGCAGCAATTTGTTAGGGAAGAAATGTCAATATTAAGGTAAATGTCTGACAGCGGGGAGCCACATCCCTTCGGTGGAGAAAGGTTTGTAACCACAATGTGGGAACGGCTCAAATTCATCACTGCACTGATACAAGGCATTGCACTGATACAAGACAGACAGATCTGTCTTGCTTCCGGGAAGTCCAAGGCAGCACGGTGAATGTGGTTCCAGCTCTGGATGATAAAGAATGGGCTACCACGTAGTAGCACCTGTGAGCGCTGGCTGAGAGGAGGGGCAAGCGGGCAAATGTGGACCCAGGCTGTGAGGGGTGGGGGTGGGACCCATGGCATCACTGCCCCAAAAGTTCCAGTGTTAACACATAGGTAACATCATCCAAAGTATCTCTCTCTATACATATGTGCAGATAGAAGGGTAAGTAAATGGATTGATAAACAGACAGAATATACGTGTGTGTGTGTGTTTATGAGAAATGGATCCTACTATAAATACTGTGTTTTAAGTAACTAGTAAATTTACCTTTACTGGAATTAAGAAAAAGAATAAACAGAATTGCTGAATCTCAGGTAAACATTTCTTGAATATAATATATATTAGTTTCTAAAACATTATTCTAAGATTATAAGAAAAGATGATGAAAGCAATGAAATAATTCAATCTCTATTTAAAAAAATAAAAATACATTTTGAATTTCAAACAGGATGGATTGGCTTCTCTGCAGGAACTGTGAGGTTACTGCACTCAGGTTTCCTTCCACTTTCTGATTCTGATTGCTCAGTCGGTGAGACTTCATCATCAAGTAGTTTTTGTTTGTTTTGTTTTTAATTCCCTGGGTTCTTTTATGTTTGAAATAGTCAATATTGCTCCCAAGGTATGGGTGCTTCATGCCCTATCAAACTTGGTTTCCTCATCTTTCAAAAATTACATTCTTAATTATTACTATTGGTAAAATTTTGCCTTTAAAAAAAAAACTAGCTTTTAATTTGTTTTAGTACAGTATCTGGTAACAATGGACTTGCATTTCAGACCATGGGCTTTAGATTAGACAAATAATATGTAATCAGAAGCGGACATAATAATTGTGTAGAGAGCTTCAAAAATAAACATAAGCCAGGGCCCAATGTGTGGAAGTTCAGATTCAGCAAGTCTGTGGCGGTAGCCACTGGGCATTTGTATTTTTCAAAAAGAAAGAAAAGTAATAAATTCTACAGATGATTTCTATACATACTCTTGAGGACTAAAGTGTTTGAGAAATCTTCAAGTTCCAATGAGTCACAAGTTAAAACAGAAAGGCAGTCCATTGTTAGATAAACTGTATTTTATCACAGTTGAGTTAGGGGCCTACATCAGTGTGACTCAGGAATTTATGTTTCTTGAAGTTTAGATGCAGTAAAGATTTTTTTGTGCTGGAGAGGAAAATAATTTCTACTGCTACTTTAATTAACAGTCTTTTTTTTTTTTTCTTTTTTTCTTTTTTTTTTTTTAGACGGAGTTTCGTTCTTCTTAACTCAGGCTGGAATGCATTGGCACCATCTTGACTCACCACAGCCTCCACCTCCTGGGTTCAAGCGATTCTTCTGTCTCAGCCTCCTGAGTAGCTGGGATTACAGGCATGCACCACCAAGCCCGGCTAATTTTGTATTTTTAGTAGAGACGGGGTTTCTCCATGTTGGTCAGGCTGGTCTCCAACTCCTGACCTCAGGTGATCCGCCTGCTTCAGCCTCCCAAAGTGTTGGGATTACAGGCGTGAGCCACCGTGCCTGGCCAACAGCATGTTTTAATGGGATATATAAAAATCACTGGATTATTTGCTTTTAAAATATCTTTTAGTTATTAAGTCGGGTGTGGTGGCATGCGCTGGTAATCCCAGGTACTCAGGAAGTTGAGGCAGGAGAATCACTGGAACCCAGGAGGCGGAGGTTGCAGTGAACCGAGATTGCGCCACTGCACTCCAACCTGGGTGATGGAGTGAGACTGTCTAAAAAAATAAAAAAATAAATAAAAAATAAAATATCTTTTCATTATTAATACTTGGGGAAAGCCCAATCATTCAGTCTCTGTAATCTAACTTGAGACCTATAACAGATGTCTGTACCTGAAGTACAGACATGGGGGGAACTAACTAGACTCTGTAAAATTTGTCTTACAACTTATACCAGTTACAGGGTGGCAAATGTTCTACAACACAATGAGCTAAAGCAAAAGTGGAACTGAGGGACACCAAAATTCACAATGTTTAAGTTTAGAAATGGGGTGATTCACCTACCTTTATCAGTTATCTGGTGGAAATGGAGATTTGCTATTTTTGGCTCAAATTCAAAATTTGGTTCTCATAACTTTTTATTCTATCCGTTGCAAAGATCTCTTACTATCACTAAATATCTTGACTTACCTTGTGCTTTCTGCAGTAAATTTAATGTTTTTTCCTCTAGTTCTTCAAGAGTTACGGCATCAAGGGAAATACTCTCCAGTAACTTGGAACGTTGATCTTCTAAATGAGGAACTTCATGAGTTACCACAGTAGACAAGAGTTGATCTTGCAAACCTTGGAATGTTACAGTGAAGTTGATCATAGTAACAAAGTTATAAACTGATGGAAGAAAATGGGGGTTGTCTATTTCTGTAGATAAGTATAACCTAAACATGAGAAAGGCACCAGTTATTCAAAGAACATATAGAAGAAAAAAATGAACAATTTATTTAAAAATACATAAAGCATTTTTCCTGGAAGTACACAAGATTTTTAGTGTTCTTCAGTTTTGTATACAAAGTACACTTTCAATGTATACTATGTGAATACATTTGCATTGAAGTCTTAAAAAAATACAACCACAGACTGTGTACATGCTATGTTTAGTTTACACATAAGGACAGAGTACAGAAAATGTTGAACAGTAGAAGTTTTGACTTGCCACTAGATCATTGTCAAAACCATGGTTTTAACCCTTAGTGAGTTGAGAAGCCAATGGAGGGATTGGAGGAGTGACAAAGTCTTTTTAAATCAGACTTCTTTAGCAGCTATCATTCAAAAAAAAAAAAATTTCAATAGCTTTAGGGGTAAAGCTACATGGATGAATTGTTTGGTGGTGAAGTCTGAAATTTCGGTGCATCCATCACCTGAGCAGTGAACCTTGTACCCAAGATGTAGAAGCCATCTTGAGAACAGCCTGGGAGGAGAGGCAGAGGAGCAAGAGGGAAGCTGGGAGACTGGGTAACATGTGAGAAATGATGGTGGCGTGGAGCAGGGTGGTGTCAGTGGCAGTCATACTGAAGAGTGGGCAGATTAATAAAGCAGAGACAATTCTTCATTCCACTTTATGAAGAGTGAAATTGAAGCTTAATGATATTAAATAAATTGCCCATATCACATGGCCAGAAAGTGACAGAGTGAGGTCCATCACTGAAGCCTGCCCTCTACAACAGTGCCCTCCAGCACCTTCTCAACACACATTCCTAACATGGGGACCGGGTTATCTACTCAGGAAAATTAGCATTTTTAGCACTGTTACTTCATTAGCATTTTTAGCGCTGTTACTTAATCAAACAAATTATATCCAGTAAGAAAAAAGAATGGGTTAATGCAGTGTTTTCCAAAGTGTAGTCTATACAACACTATTTTCTGGAGAGGGTTTGGTGAATAAAGGGGTTTTAAGTCCTGTAGGACTGTTACCTTTAGCCCACTTTAAGAAGCCTTGGGATCTCTTTTTTGAGTGACACCTATTACAGCATGGAAATGTTTTGACGAACGTACTTTGGAAACTGTTTTATTAACAGAAGAGAGAATTATTATTATCATTATTATTATTTCAGACAGAGTTTTGCTCTTGTTGCCCAGGCTGGAGTGCAATGGTGCGATCTTGGCTCCCAGGTGCAACCTTCGCCTCCCAGGTTCAAGCGATTCTCCTGCCTCAGCCTCCCAAGTAGCTGGGATTACAGGCATGCGCCACCACACCTGAGTAATTTTTTTTTTTTTTTTTGTATTTAGTAGAGACAGGGGTTTCACCATGTTGGTCAGGCTGGTCTTGAACTCCTGACCTCAGGTGATCCACCTGCCTCAGCTTCCCAAAGTGCTGCGATTACAGGCGTGCACCACCACGCCTGGCCACAGAAGACAGAATTCTAAGGAGTAATAATTTCATGAGAGATTGCAGCCCTGCACAGGGGAGAGGACACACTGACCAACAGGTTTGAGTCAGCACCGCTTGGTAAGGAGTCAGTACGTCAGAATTCCTGGGAATAAGTTAAAAGCACCCGGCTGATGATGGCTAAAGTCTTCTAGTTTCCTTTGCCAATTACTTGCTTACCCAGCAAGGCTCTTATTATAAATGGCCTTTCCTGTGGCTTTGCCTACAAGGAGAGAATGTCCATGAACAATTCAAACATCTTACTTCTTGGGAGTCACATTTTTATGGTAATCAAATCTATGTAACAGTGCTGTGTGAAATTGGCTAGTGCGAGTCCCTTTCCTGGAGTCCCTTTACTGCTGGGAACATGGATATAATGTTTTTTATCTTCCTAGGCAAAAATCTCTTTTTGCTCTAGATATTAAATATAGATTTTGTGTGTGTGTGTGTGTGTGTGTGTTTTAAAAAGGCAGAAACTTTTGTCGCCCAAATAAAATGTTAGGCAAACAGAACAAACAGAGCTTCTCCAGATGAAGCAGAGCCAGGCTTCTCACTTGCTCCTCTCTGCATAGCTTCTGAAGACTCCTCATAAAACCCACAGGTTTCATCATGCACAGTTTGAAAAGTGTTGGTTTGGAGTGACTTGATACAAATTGGTTATCTTTTCTGTATACTGATGAATACTTCTGCCAACACAAAAACAAAAAGAATATTCCAAAGACAATCTTACTTTTTCCTCCATGTAGAAGCTTAACAGGACTGAATACAAGGCATTCAATATTATTTATCTTAAAAAGCATACACATTTGACTCAATTTAGCTGTGGCACATTACCTAAAATTTGAATTGTATTCGATCTCAGCGTCACCAACCCTTATGAAATAGTGTCCTTTTTTCTGATAGATATCCTTTTTCAGAATTGCCTTTAAGCCTGGAGCTAATGTCTCAAGGAGATTCTGAAAAATCCAATAGACAAAAATAAGAAAAATCATCTTAAAACAAATTGGTTGGGGAAAAAAAGCAGCATTAAAACATTTAAATGTTGAGTTAGAAAGAATGGATAGACCTAGTATTTCATAGCACAACGGGGTGACTATAGTCAATAATAATTTAAATGTACATTTAAAAATAACTAAGAGTATAATTGGATTGTTTGTAACAAAAGATAATGCTCAAGGGAATGGATACTCCGTTCTGCATGATGCGATTACACATTGAATGCCTGTTTCAAAAACATCTCATATACCCCATAACTATATACACCTACTATGTACCCACAAAAATTAAAATTAAAAAATTTAAGTTTTATTAAATATCTGGACTCCAGTGAAAGACAGCTGTAAGAGAACTGAGCATTGAAAACTCACTCTCTGTCTCTAAGTATATATGTGTGTATGTCTGTTATTATTTTTTTCTCTGACAGTTATGTGTCACTGAAAACTTTTAGCCTTTATGCTCAATGCATACAACATATGTATCAGCTGCAAGGGAAATTAGGCCATACTGCCCACTTACCTGCAGGAGGACACTCCCTCCTGTCTTCATAGCATTTTCAATTTTTTTGGTGTAATTGCTGTCTTCAATGGAGAGCTTCTGCAGCCTGGATCCTTCCATCTGACGGATCCAGTTGTGAGCTTGCCTATGTGGGTCAATCAGCAGTGGCCACTGCTGGCCATTCTTGATCAAGATGGCATTCTCTACTGAATACTGACCATGAGGTAGTCCCTGATTATGCCATCGGCTGATCTGCAACGAAATCATTAGTACTTTCACTATTTTGTAAATGTCTTCACATCTTTAGTATCCTACAGGGTACTAAAAGATCCTACAGAATCACTGCCTTTAGAAAAAGAAATACTGTTTAAAAATGCTATGGAAATGAACAGTTTAAAGAAACAGATATGAAATTTTTGGGAAGCTGAGTAATTATGCACTAAATTACATTTTTGTGTTCAACAATAAGAACATTATAATGCCCATCACAACAAAGATGCCATGGGGGACACAAAGGAAATAAGATACAGCACCTGCTTCTAAGGCTCTTAGACTCTAATGCATATATGAAATATGCAATAATACAGAATTATACAAATATAATAACAGCTACTTTATTTTGCCCCTACCAACTGCCAACCACACATACATATATACTAGGTAGTGAAATTACTATAATAACCCTTATTTCTAAGATGGAGGAACTGAGGCTAAAAGACGTTAGATACTTGTCTAAGGTTATACTGTCAGAATAAGAAGCAGAGCTACCATTTGACTCAGAAGCTGACTTCAAGCCTGGTAAGCTTTGACTCTTTACATGGCCTCTCTTCTTCTGCCACTCCAATTTCATGGCAGTATCAGCAGGTTGGGAGAAAAAGGCCAAGAAGCCTATGGAGGTAAGAGTAGAAACAGGACACCAAGGAAACCCTCCAGCAAAAGGTAGCAGGGGTCTCCCCAGGAGAAGCCAAACATACTTTTTAGTTTGGGAACAGAGGAAAGTTTTTTCATTTATGCCTGTGAAGAACTGCATGCTCTCAAATTCTATGTAAAAGGAAATAGGACAGATGATGAAGAATCCTGAAAAATACAAGTATTGCTATTGATTGGGGTGTAGATTGCATCTGAATACAGGCAAAGAAGACAGGAGTAAACATGATTGTGGTGAGAGAAACATGCCCTGAGCCCAATAGCAAAGAAGAGTTTCTATTTTCAAAAATGAATCATTCTCCAGACTTTTATGCTTTTCTTTATTAAACACGATAGTTTAGTTTTGCTTATTTTTGAACTGTAGATAAGTGAAATCTTCCATCTTTTTCTGTGCCTGGCTTTAATTCATGTTGTTGTGTTGCTTGAGGTCTCTCTACATATATACATATATATGTGTAGTCTTATACATATATGTGTAAGTATATGTGTGTGTATATATGTATATATGTGTGTATATATATGGGATTACACTGAATCTATAGGTCAGTCTAGTAACTTTAGAATATTGAGTTTTCCAATTCATGAACTTGGTATAACTCTTCATTTATTTAAGTTTCTTAAAATGCATCTTAGTATTTTATAGTTTTCTTTCTATAAATTTTTCACATTTTTGAGATTCATTCTGATGTGCAAAAGATGTGTTTTAGATACCATTTTAGGTCATTGGTAT